TAGTTTATATTAATTTGAAATGCAATTCATTTTAGAGGCCAAAATATTTAATTCAATTAATATTTGCAGACCTGCTTGCAGACATTGTACCTATTTTTATTTTAGATCTGTATAATTACTGTATTCTGGCAACTAAACGTTTCCTATTCTTTTCAAAACCAGAATGCAGTACTGCTGCAGAGATAGGTAAGGTGGTTGTACTTCCTTCGACGAACTTTTTCACAAGGTTCTACTTCGAAAACAGACCCTATACTACTAATATGCAAAGATTGCATCTTCAGTCGTCTGTCTGACAAGTCGTCTTCACAATGTCACAAATCCAATTAAGAGCAGTGTGTACGCTTCTGTAAGATTCCGGGTGATATTCAAAATTTGCCATTCACTAGGTTTAAAAATAGTGAAGCAAAAACTTTATTCTGAAGGCTTTATAAAGCTTCTAAATAATTGGATGACAAAATTCTGTAGTAGTGACCCGTTTAGCTCTTGCAGGTATTCTCTATCTAAGATGTTTGAAATAAATATTATAAATGATAAATGTATTCAACACAACAATGTATATTTACAAAGAGCAAACCCTAGAATGTCTTTCACATTCTTCTCAGGGGACCTTGCGAATGAGCAATAGAGTTAAATCAATATGACGATTTCAAGTGTAATAAACTGCCTCCGTGGCCGAACGGTTACCATGCCGGACTGCCACGCAGAGGTCCCAGGTTCGATTCCCGGGCCGGGAGAAATAGTTGTATGGCCTACAATTATTTCTCTCGTGAGTTTGGGTGTAATTTGTGGTTGTCTATGTGTGTGTCCATGGCACCCGCGACACAGGGTTTCCCTAGTGCGGGGCTATGTTGAGTGTGTGCGTTAAAAAAAAAGTTTGCTTGCATACGAAATAAACATGATTTAGTTTTGACTTTGGCACGTGTTTTTAGAAGTGAAAGCTGATTTATTTATTGATTCCACGGTGTTTTGCACCATGCCTAAGTACGAAGAATAAACCATTATCTGCTTTACGTATGTTTACATTACAGGAAATTTTTACAATTCTATAAAATACACAAGAAATTCATATTCTAACTTACCGATCCTGTTCAAATTAAGTGTTATTTAAACATTGCTATCGATGGTCTACTATGGTATCTAAGGCAGGGTATGTGTTCATCATTATTAGCGTTTCACCGTGCGCAAAATTGAACACAAACCGCATACACGTATAATACAATTTACAATGGGTTTCTTTTTACGTTTATCGATATCGAAACTTATTACGAGTGCATTGTAAATTGTATCTTATCCGTATGCATATTGTGTTGAATTGGCAATTGTCGAATCGCTTATAACGGTTACCTCTTCGGTCCCCGATCTAAAGCTATCATTCTATGACTGATATGACCGCTCGTATCGCAGAGCAAACATTGGCCAACCGATTGCAACAGCAAATAAAAATATTTAACCTCATTATTTGTACGTAGGTGTTAGGTATTACCTTATGTTTATGACGAAGTAAAGCAAAATGCGTTAATTTTCTCGTTGGTTTCAAATTTGGACATTTTGAGACCATGGAAGAAAATGTTAGTGACAAAGATAGAGAAATGGATGCTTAGATAATTTGGACATGTAGAGAGAATGAATGAAAGAAGATTGACTAAACAGATTTATAGTTTGTTTTTATTTTATTTATTTATTCATTCAACTCAGGCAACTACGACGCATATAATATATATCTAAAGGACTAACATACAAATAATATTTAAACTATAAAACTAATTTACACGATGTGCTCTTGACGGCGATGTGTGGCGCAATCTGGTATCAGGTAACCCGCCTTGGAATCGCCAATATACGATAACTCCTCCTTCGTGAAGGTCGATTGAATTTCGGTCGCCATTCTCTCCATAAATGAATTAAAATTCATGTTGTGGCGGTATTCCAAACGCCGGGTGCATTTATGTTTTAGTCTAATGTACTCCACTATCTCCTCAGCTTCCGCGGAGTAATGCAGTCGCGTGTCATGTCGCACACTAAAGCGAACTTACCATGATCAATTTGACGACCTTCTAAAGAAAGGCCAGGTCAATAGCATTGAAAGCACTGATGCGTGTTGATGAGGCAAAAGATGTGTGTCAGGAACGTAGCAAGTGAAACGTTGTTGCTCATCCCGATAACAAAAGGGCGTGATGTATATGTCATACACATGGACGTATATGTAGTATATGATCAAGGTCCATTATCAATCATCATTATAGTGATTTTTAACTTATTAGATGCACATAAATTAATATGAGCAACGCAATACCGCCATTATGGCGGTTTTTATTTTAGTCTCGAGTGAAATCATGGATGCATAAAATGGTTGGTCTTTTCCCTGAATCTAGATTGTAAACATAGAAATACAGCATGATAATGCAAATCTGAATCAACTTGGTGTAAAGAGCAAAGCAATTACAAACTTAAAACTTATGGCAATAAAGACGTATATAAATTTTGTGACACTAGAGAAGACGCGTTATATTGTCGCCGTATGGCAGGCTGACGGATTGACGAACGGTAACTGACAGGCAGTAGTTTCATTGCAGTGTAACCCCATACAAACCTTGCTGCGCAGCTTGTATGTGTGCAACACTCAATTTTACCGTATATTTTTTCCAATGTGATTGGCTCAACACTCACTTTTCATTCATTTGAGGTTGTATCGACTGTTACAGGTAGACAATTAGCGACTGTATCGCTACTTCATGCCAATTGAGTCGCTGCACATGCGCTGCTAAAAGCAAATTTAGTAGCAGAAAAGCCCCTTGTGAAAGAGTCATTAAGTGACGTAACCTTACCAATTTCTGCCGCCAAACGGTAATGTGAGGTGTATTCTGTTCCGGTTTCGAAAGATATCGGTGCTGGTGAAGTTGCAGGCACATTGGACTTGTCAACTTATGTCTCAGGGGTGATGGGCGCAGTGGCATAGACCCTCGGATGCGATTTAAAGCTCTGAGTGGCACTGCAACTGTTATGGACAGGCGTGTAGCTTACCGCTAGACACGCCTTGTGCGCCCCGTCGTTTGATATTGTAAAAAAAAGTCCCTTAATGCTTACAGCAAAAGAATGGATTACACTACCGACTTATCTGTTTCCCGAAAACTTCGATCTGAGGTTTTTCAACGCTAGAATGCAAAGGCATTTTTTATACAAACGCCATCCACCGTTTCTCACAAGATCGCTTAAGACTTATCGAAACGTGCGACAATTTTTCATAATAAAAAAAATAAAGCTAACCTTATTACAGGTTCTGAACCTTTCACCATTTGTTTTAGCATCTAACGTTAAAATATTTATATGTATAGCTGTTTTCCATAGGTCAACAGAATCGTCTTTTCAAAAAAAGAGAATGTGAGGTTATCATTATATTTCATTTCTTTAGAATTAGATAACACGTAAACAAAAAAGCAGTGATCGTAAATCTTTTTCTTCTGACAACAAATTACAGTAAAGAAAAATGAGAAATGATTATAATGTATTTTTTTTAATAAAGAGATCAGTTAAATGTTTAAAATCTCCGCTATCTTAGATATAGACTATACAATTTTAATTTGTTTGAGAATTTTCTTTTACGGTACCTATTTATTAAATTGCTTTGCTTCCAAAATGACTTAATGAAGTTGCACCTGATTAAATACCCGGAACCTTCTTTCTCTTGTCTGGTAAAAACAACGAATCACAGGTATTCTTGTTAGGCGAAATGGGGATTTCAGTTGTAGTGTGCATGTAACTTGACAGACCTACGCACTCGCGAGTATATATTATTCCTCTTCCTCTTAGAGCCCTCTCGCGTGTCTATGCGTGGGTACACTCAGTTAGTATCACAAGAACCGTTGGCGAAAGCGGACGGGGTGTTACGTTATGCATGACATTGCCGAACCTGTGTTCTCAGGGATAGAAACGAACCTAACTCAAGATAACACCAGTAAAACTAAAGATAACACCAGTAAAGATGGCTTCCCATAGCTATGATTCATAGCTTTAATAACAATGTTATCTTTTGTTTCAGTTTCATCATATCTAAAGAAAATCACAGCCACTGCATCAGCTTGAACGCAAAACCTCGAATCTTATAGGTAAGCAAATTACATTTCAAATCGTTCATGACTTTAACCTCCACTGGTCCCAAAATACATTATGACGAGTGTTATAATCATAACGTAAAAGAAGAACTTTTGTTTATATGAAAAATTGTAAGGAAGTAAACGATCGTCAATTTGTTCAGTTGCAAAAAGATGGCGTAACATACAGGCACAATGAACTGGTCAACTTTGTGTAAGGTGACTTGGCAAGACAGATTTTGGAGGATAAGGTTGTTAGTGAAAAATACAGTACAGGCATATAGGACTTGTCAACTTAATTTATTAGGATTACGGGCACAGAGATGTAAGACACTACCTCTATCAGGATTACGGGCACAGAGATATAAGACACTACCACATATTTGCGATTGTGAGCTCTCATTGACTCCTGGCGAATTCGCTTATAGCTACAAGCGTCAATTACAAATATGTGATTTTATTTATAAAGGCCACAAAGTAGCGCTGCAACTTGCAGCGAAACTCCCCCAACCACTGAAGACGCTGTAAGCGAATTACAAAACTTCGTGGGTGTATTTTCACGCTTTCAACGAATAGACGCTTCAAGCGTGGCTACATTTTCGTGGCCGAGGCGGCGTTTTGGTAATATGGTAGGCGTGTCACTGCCTCGACCGCACGACTTGTTCGCCTCGTAAAAAAAAATTGTCCTACACACCACTACACGTGGTTGCCATAAGCATCATTTTATTTTATTTCGCGTACTACATGCTTTTGTACAATATAATAGCGAAAAAACTTAAATGCATTTGTTGCTCTGTATTCTAAATTTTTTAACACTTGGGATCCAATAACGACCTGTGCCTACATTTCGATATATAACAAACCGCTGAAGTGATTTGAATTCCCCTCATGCATCACGTCCATTTCTCTTCATTTTTGCATTACTCTCTGTAACCCACACTGGAATAATATCCTCAGAAAACATGCCTTGAATCACTAACCGACCAATATCTTTGACCTCCCTTTATATACATTAGATGCTCCACAACGCGTTCTTCCAAACTGGACGGTAGCAGTGACTCCACAATTCAATCTTGAACTATCAATTTTTAACTTCGTAAGGCGCGAACAGGTCCAACGATATTGGTTTTCTTCACAAACAAAAATATCAAAGGAAAATGTTATGACAACGGAAAACTTTGAAATATACGTAATTAATTACATAAGCTATAACCTTAATCTTCTAGAACTAGCGATTTTGTCTTGGTTAACGAGGTATACGTTTATCTTAGTATTTTAGTTCCAAGCCTAGCTATTACAAAACATAGTTCTTGATAAACATCTACAGCAATGCAGTCTTTAGATTCTATATTTATTCCTGTCTAGACAAGACTAATAAATGGAGCAGACTAGACATGGCATGATCAGTAACTATTTTTGCCCGTGTCAAGCTTTTCTGCAATGTTCTTGTCTAGTATACTTTATTGTGACGCATTGTCATCGTGAACAATGTCGTTAGTGGCTTTGTACGTTTTTGTTTTTAATAATAAACGTGGATACATACATACATTTCATGCCCGTTTCCTTAGATGTTTGGAAAAATTGCCTCATGTTTGGTATCGGCATAACATATGTAATAAGGCGGATATTGTAATCCATACAAAGGTCGCAACGCGGAATTTGTGTGTACACGCCCACCGCATGCAGTGTACGGACGCACAACTTCGCTTAACCTCGCAGTGCATTCGAATTGCACTGCGCGGGTTGCACGCACCATTCTTTATAATTGAAGAATTTTTCTGTGTTAATTTTATTATTATAAATGTATTTCATTTCTATGTCATGATCATACTCCCTTAAGTAGCTGCAAGTTCTCATTGTATGGCAATAAAATTGAATAATAATTTACCTATTAGAGACATAGAAAACGACACTGAATTTGGAAAAAACATTGAAACATTTTTTTTAAATTTTTTTTATTAATTAAAAAATGCTATTACAATATAAAATACAAATTTGGTGGAATGATGAAAGACATTAACAGAGTATTTAGAGAAGAATATATTTTTAAATGACATTATCAAATTTACATACTATAATATCAATACAGTGTACTAAAAAACCGACCTTAAAAGTCATTCATCCCCTAGTTCGTCACCCCTAAAGGTGGAATTTTTTCTTCAAATTTAAATGGGACCACTCCTGAGATACCCTCTTTCCAACAAAAAAGAATCACCAAAATTGGTTTACAAATTTAACCGGAGTTATCGCGTAACATACATACAAAAAAAATACAGTCCAATTGAGCTCCTTCTCCTTTTTTCGAAATCGGTTAAAAATTAAGATTGTGTTAACTATTTTTATTTTGTACGTACTTACCTCTCTTATCTTAAAATGTATCTAATGTTAAAATTTTATGAATATTATTGTTGAATGAATTATAATTAAGTACATTAAATCCTAATTTAATGCATGCATTGGAATAGTTTGAAATATCTGTTCTGTTGATCTAAATTTATAATTTATATAATAAAAATCCCTCAGTGATTTGCCAAGCCCTTACAGGGCGTCACGCGATTCTTTACAATAATCTACCGACTTAAATTGTATTTAATATGCTTTTACTGTGACATGCAAATAAATTATTTTACTTTGACTCTGATAATCAAGATACTAATCAGCGATACTGGTATAAAAATATCAATATATAAGTACTGCATTTGGCAAAGACTATTTCAATTAAATATTAGAATTCTGTGATGGTCTCCATATTTCTTTAAATTGTGTAGTACTTGTATAATAATAATGTGACGATCCTACGCTCCTAGCCACGTGTAAACATTAATGCACCGAACAGGTGGGACTTGCGCTACTTTGTTTTTTTTATACTATGGTAATGGTGATTTTTTTTATCTAGCGTGACTTTTTGAATTTTGTGTAAAACAAACGAACGTCGGCTGCATAATTATTACAATCCATATTAAACCATTAGGCGAAAAACGGTGTCGTTCCAACTAAAACGAGACTGGCATCCTGAAGATGTTTACCCATCGTTTTGACTGTACAATTTTAAAATGTTTAGTAAAGATACACAAGTTAAGTAGCCATTTGTGCATTTTCCTAATTAATTAATTCAGTAATTCATTGTTAATCTTTGTCATTTAATATTTTAATTATCTGTCAATATTTCGAAATTCATTGTAATCGCACTAACATAGTTTTGAGGTTTTCTTTTGTAACTAACACCATTTATCCATCTTATGGGCTGTGGCCTGAAATAAATGATTTTATATATTTTTTATTATTAAAACGCCAGATGAAATTGTGATCAAACACAATCTCATGTGACTTTACGTAGTCTACGATGTTACACATTATCCAGTAAATACCTGTTCACTTGTGCCTTGAATAGCCTTACATTCTTTTGCCATACTCTTCAGAAAGAAAAGTAGGTAAATCGCTCGTGCGAATGGGTAAGTCTATAGTAGTCATATCGCAGGAAGACGTTCAAAATCTCTTAACCAAATAATTTTCCCTCAAAAGCTTACATATTATAGAAACGCCCGCATTCACCGAAGTGATAAGATCTGTGAATTGAACTTGCCCAATTTTAAGTCATGGCGCACAATTCCTTAGAAGCTCATAACTTAACTTAGACAAAAGGCTTGTGCACATATAAAGTTCAGCCAAATCGCAATTGTAAATTCCTATTAAGAGCTATAGCTAAACTTGACTTGGCAGGTCACATTTTCGTTCAAAATTTTGCCAATTTCGCCATTTTTATCAAATACGATCATACGTTAATAGTAGAGACTTTAGAGTGGCTATTTATAGAACGGACTTGTCGAAGCCATAAAACAATGATAAGAACATTAATTACGGCAGAGCTATTGCCTGAAATAACATACACTCGAATAAGTTTCTTAAAAGCTAACACAATGCTCAATATCTTTCTCTGTTAGGACTCGAAGACGTTGACCGCCTGTACTATTTTCTCTAAATTCCTGTCTATATATGATTGGCACTAACAAGGGCATTCGATTCGATATCCTGCCTTTAAAGTATCTATCGACTGAGCTCTGGGGTTGTTTACTAGCCTTATTTTTAAAATAGCACGTATTTTTCTGCTATTATTGGGTTTATGCTCATGGTTTAGGTGGACGAACCGGCTGAATCAGTTTAATGGCCGTAAAAGAATCCCCCAGGGTAACGTTTTAATGCCTTCGTGTTTTATAGCCTTCAGAAAGAGAACAAAAATGTATAACATCATTTTGTCGGCCCTATGAAACAGATTTTTGTTTTACTAGAGTACGATTTTGAATCAAATTGTGTAATTTGTATTCAGTAAGTTATTTTAGTAGGGCGCGCGCAAATCATAATGACAATACATCGACCTTAAAGGCCTTATTTTCGGATATACAATCAATAAAACCTTGTGAAAACTAAATGATTATCGCATATTACATTACGAATTACAGTATGAGTTCTTTTTATTTTCCCCATATTCAGGAACGGTTACACGTATCATAGACCAGTCGACGTTCCGAAATATCGGGAAAACAAAAAAAACTCATCGTGGTAAGAATCCCGTAATTAGTAATAATCATGTCGTGAATAACTAACGAAACGAAAGCCTTGAAGACTTATGAAAACTGATGGAATAGCAAAAAAATTGTTCCATCTAAGTACCACTTATGACGACATCATGGTGTAAGTTCAGAAAAATATCAATTTACTTTTGAAAGTTTACAAACATTGCCCAAACTTTTGGGTTGTTTCACAAATGTCAAAGTTAAAGTGTTTTCAAAGTTGGTATCCTACTGGGAGATTTTGGGAACTCTTTGGACTTTTCGACTTTTGACAAAGTAATTCATGGTAGTTAGTGAGTGTTGCGAACCGGTCTTATACCCGCTCGGCACGAGACGCGGGGGAGAACGATACGACCAGCGTGACGTCACGGCAAGCGACAACGGCGCAGGGGCCTTATTGACAGCCACCGGCGACCGTCGACCCCTATACATTTATATAATATAAAC